AATCTGGAAGGCAGGTGCTAGATTCCCTTTCTGAATATTAGCTAAATCTGGAAAGGAAAAGTTAATTTCTGCTTCCATGGCTCAGAAGTGGAAATCCTCCTAAGTGTCTGGTTCTGTGTCTAAAACTGCCCAGGTCCAGAGCCTCCCCTCCCTTACTTTTCATTTTAAATTCTAGTGGGATCCACATACCTCCCTTGCTAGGCTTCAGATAGAGAGGTGCACTGTCCATTTAGTTCCCCCGCAATTTCTTCTTTGGGGGAGAGCCCAGGGCTGGGGCGGCAGGAGGTGCGGGTGGGAGGAGAGCCCAGGACTGAGGCAGCAGGGGAGTGCAGGTGGGGGCCACAGCTGGGGCAGCAGGGGGTGTGGGTGGGGGAGAGTCCTGGGCTGGGGCAATACAGGGGTGCGGGGGGAGCCCAGGCGGGGGGGGGACACAGCAAAAAACCTAAAGCTGGCTCTGTTCCTACTATTCGCAGCAAGCTGCAGATTTCAGTTCCATACTCCTTCCCCCACCCTTTCCTGTTGCTAGGGGCCAAGGGAATACTGGGAAATGTAATTCTTTCCCTGCTCCAGGGCTGGCTCTATAGGGAGGGAGCTAACCCAGGAACTACAGCTCCCAGGGTCCCCTGTTGGTTCTCAGCTCCCAGGCTGGATCCCTGCCGCCCCTGCAAATGGGCTGCCCCAAGCACGTGCTTGCTTTGCTGGTGCCTAGAGCCGGCCCTGCTCCAATGTCTGTATCTGCTCTGGCAGGGAGAGAAAAAGCAGCTGCTGCCCAGGGGGTTTGCAGGAGAGAACCTCATCTGCAGGGACAGAGAGCGCCAGACCAACAGAACAGGAGCCAGAGAGTGAATCCGGCAGCTCCAGGCACCAGGCGGCCCCAGCAAATGCACCAGATGGAGCCATCACCAAGGGTCTGACCCCAGGGCAAACCGTGCGGGCTCTGCAGTGGGGTGCAGAGATCAGACTGTCCTGCAAAGCCAGGTGGGGACACATCCCAGGCTGTTCACTGGGGCCTGCCCAGGGCATCACTGTCCCTGTCCCCAGCACCCCCTGCCCCATATGTAAGCAGGGCCGTGGTCCCGCTATTGTGGGGAAACTTACCTGGCTTCTGCACGACCCTGGTGAAATGGGCTACTGGAAGGATCTGAGTCCTCGCTCCCACTTTCTTAACTCAGAGGCCTCCCTGCCCTCGAGGACTCCCCTTCCACTCTCCTGTCTGGCAGAGTCCTCATAACCCCAACGAGGCTGGGCCCAGGATTCCTGGGGGGCTCAACCCCCAACCCTGCTGTGGTCACCTGGGACAGGGGCTAGGGTGTCCCCACTCCGGGGTGCTCTCTCTGCACCGGACACTTCCCTGACCCACTGATCATTACATGCAATTTAAAGAAAATACAGTTTATTTAGTCAGCAATTAATTTAAAAAAGAATACGGAAAAATGGGAAAGGTGAAAGGAAAACACATCACCCCACTCTGTGACAGGGAACATCACAAACAGTGTCTCTGGAACGTCAGGTAGTGGTGGCCGTGTTAGTCCGTATCAGCAAAAACAACGAGGTGTCCTTGTGGCACCTCTTAGAGACTAACACATTTATTTGGGCATAAGCTTTTGTGGGCTAGACCCCACTTCCTCAGCTGCATGGAGTGGAAAATACAGGAGCAGGTATAAATACATGAAAAGATGTGATTTGCCTTACCACGTGTGAGGTCAGTCTAACAAGACCATTCAATTGACAGCAGGATACCAAGGGAGGGAAAATAAAGAACTGGAATTCATTTGCAAACTGGACACCATCAGATTAGGCCTGAATAAAGACTGGGAGTGGTTGGGTCATTACAAAACCTAAACCTAATTTCTCTCATATTAATTTCCCCCTTCTGTTACTCACACCTTCTTGTCAACTGTGTGTAATGGGCCACTCTCATTACCACTTCAAAAGTGATTTAAGGTGCCACAAGTACTCTTGTTCTTTTTCCCTCCCTTGGTATCCTGCTGTCAATTGAATGGGATGGCCTCCTTCCCAGGCCCTGGCTGTGCTGCAGAGACGCTGCGGGTTGGACACTTGCTCTGGTGCTGGCCACACACAGGGCCGGCTCTAGGTTTTTTGCTGCCCCAAGCAAAAAAATGTTTGGCTGCCCTCCAGCTCAGCTCTGGGCTATCCCCTGCACCTCCCTGCTGTCCCAGGCCTGGGCTCCCCCCCCCGACCTGCACCCCCTGCCACGCCTGCTCTGGGCCTCCCCCCTCCACCCACACCCCCTGCTGCCCCAGCTCTGGGCTCTCCCTTGCCCCCCACCCACCCACCCCCTGCTGCCCCAGCCCTGGGCTCTACCCCCTCCACCTGCA